TTTTTTACAGCAAAAGCTTTACAATTTGATGATTGCGGAAGCGCGTTCGCCGGGGCAAACGTCCGCTTATGGGCGGGAGTTTCTCCAGTGGCACTTTGGCTTCGGCTGTGGTTTGATAACAACCACTGTGCCCTGCGAAACGCATTTCAACGATCCTCACACCCTTCCATGACCATGATCATGCGAGGCACAATGTGCAGCGTGTGAATTAAGCACTCTGGTAAACACAAGCCAAACGTGCGTATGTAACCAGTAATTGTACAGCGTTAGGTTGAACACACTGCTGGACACCAAGGCCAAGTACTCCAGCCTTTGCTGGTTAACCATTTGTAGGGATTGCTTGGGTGGTGATTTTATTGCGATAGCAATTATACGGACAGTCTGGGCTGGTTTTTGCTGTCACCGCCGCCGCCGCGGCCATCATGCACCGTACATGTATACGTATCAATATATATAAAAACTCAAGAAAGAAAAAAAAAGCCGCCCGTGATCGGCACCCAGCTCGTCGCGATGCGACAGCGCGCGCTTATCTCCCACGCGTATACTTTGCCCCGCGGATAGGGGTGGGAGAGGGGGAGGGGTGTTAGGTTCTTGAGCGAGTGCGCTTATCGCTCGGTGGGGAGAATCGTGTGCCTTGGCCTTTCACTGGAAGGATTACGTTAGTTGCCTAGGTCACTTCGCTCACTGGCTAGGCCCGTTTGCGGAAAGAGTGCGCTTTTCAAACTTAGCGAAGTAGCTACTGGGGCACTCGTAAGTCCTCACTCATAGTCGTACCTGCGATTACGTTTCGTGCGTCTTTTTTTTTTGCTTGTACAGCGCGTGAAGCGTCGAGCTGTAAACGTTGTGAGTTAGCCGTCGTCCTGTGTGTGTTCTTTTCGTGCGTCATTTGTGCGTGAGCAGCGCGCTGAAAGTTTCGATGTGCTAGCCGTTCTCAGCGTCACATTCCAAGTTGCTGCTATCGCATTCATTGCTTCGCCCTTGCGGTAAAGCTGTGACTTTTTTTTAAAGTACCGTCTTTCTTTCAATCGAGCCACAGTGCCGCGCGCCCTCCTCTCCCACCTCTCGGGCTGCCGCTAGAGAAAGGGCACGAACATCGCGCGTGCTACCAGCGTGACATTCTTCGTTGAATAGTGCCGCGACCCAATTTGTAGAGCCGGCGCCCGCATGGTGGCCGTTGAGGAGAGGATATGAATAAGGTTAGAATAAAGGGTGAAAAGGGCTCGACACTTTTAGCAGAATATGGAGGAGAGTGTCGCTACTTTTTTGTCTATTAAGGGACCTTACCCAACGCGAGGCCGGTTTGTTATCCCGCTACTGACGACGCAAACGTCGCGAAGTTGAGGAGCTTTGAGGACCGCCAGTGGTATCTGGCGTATATAAATGGCTTGATGTATGTAAATGGACAGTGATGAAAAACCTTCGACTTGTTGTGATGCTCTACATATTTTATTTGATGAGTAAGTTCGCCGACCAATGGAAACGTGCTTTTGATCTATTTATGCTGGCCTAATGGATCGACACTCTTAACGAACCTTCGCCATCGTTGTGATGTTCCACAGATTTTAATTTATCGATCTGTGGCATACGAGTGTGTGTGTGTGTGTGTGTGTGTGTGTGTGTGTGTGTGTGTGTGTGTGTGTGTGTGTGTGTGTGTGTGTGTGTGTGTTGTGTGTGTGTGTGTGTGTGTTACTCAGACATTCGTGTTGCCCGCTGAACAGGCTAAAAGCAATTTCGCATTCACGTTCTAGCTGAGCGAGCCACAAGAGGCCATTGAGGTTTCTTCATTCCTTCGGCTGCAGAACTCGTGCAATTTATTTATTTCTTTAATGAACACCTAGACACAAAACAAAACTCACATCTCGCACTCACACAAACTATGTAAAGTCCTCATTGTGCGCACATTGAATGTCCCCATAATGCAACGACAAGCAATACATAAATTGCGTAGTATCGTTTCGCACCGCGTATATTTATAGCCACTCCCGAAAGCGGCCATGCATGACACGCGAATACGTCGCTATTGTTTGATTTCACCCAAAGGGGTTTAAACATCATTCATTTCACTATTCCTACAGTACTTGCAGTTAGGGCTTACTCCACAAAGAAACTAGGCACAGGAAGTGAACCATTCGTATTGATCGCTAAACTTTTTCAGCTTCACGAGAGAACACGCCCGTTTTCACCAAACGAATACCTACAATAAACCCCACTTCATGTGCCACCGAGATGTTTGAACACTTTCGCTACACTGAAAGCTTTGTGACAAACATTGCTTAAAGGGGTCCTGCATACTTTTTTAGCAAGATCAGAAAACGCCACCGAGCGGTAGTAGAGGCTTCCGAGACCACGCGAGCCAAATAATATAGCACCGCACGCGGCCTGGAATTCACCATAAATTATCAAATTCAGGTGAAAATTGCTTTCTTTTCTCTCGTCGAATGGCGAAGAAAACTAAAGAAATCACTCTAGAAGGCCATTTATCAGCCGTTGGCCGATTCGAACATGGCGCGCTCAGCCGTTACAAAGATCGCCACGGGAGGCAGCGATTTGCCCACGCGTGCGCGCACTCTCACCCTGAAAAGGCCAAGCGTTCGAAGAAAAAAAAAGAAAGAGCACTGAAGGTCACGCGGTGCACGTGACGCATTTTTTTTCTTTGCCCATGCCATCCCTCCCTGCTTAGCTTCCAGCGCTTTCGTCGGGACGAGAGAAGGGAGAACGCGATTGCAGCCTGTGACAAGTCATTGTAACTCCGCTCGTGCTGGACGGATTCTGAACATTTTTTCGGCGCTGAATTTGTGAGGCAATAAGCTCTTCTACTAAACCCGTTCTATGGCTACTTGAAAAAGTGTTTCAGGGCCCCTTTAAAATAGTGTCTTATGTCGAAACAACGTACGGGGTTGGGTAAATGCACGTGAATACACGTATGCACGCACCACTCCTCTTTAACGGTTTTGTAATAACCTCAAAAAAAGTGTCTTCAGATAACGTGTAAATATTCCTATGTGATGAGAGTGCGAAAGCGTTTCTTACGAAGTGAGCTGACTTTTACAACGTGCCAACATGGGACTACCCAGACAGGGGCCAACATAATATACAGGGCCTGAACAAAGTCCTTTTGTAAGTGTGTAGCACTTCCTAGGTCCAGCTTGTCGCACATGAATAGATGCGATGCGGCGTGATCGAACTCACAGTAAGATGGTCTCTCAAGAGCACGTTAAAATCAGCGAACAATGGATGGATGCAAAACGCTAATAAATAAGCAAACAAGATACACAATATTATATTCACAGAAATAACCAAAAAATAATCGTAATATGTAACTTGACATATCCCCCCAAAAAATAGTTTCAGGAACATGTGGCTGACACTCACGCAGTGCAAGAGAGGGCGCCACCATCTTGTCAATCAAGCGACTGATCCCCCCACCGGTGCTTGTTTAGGAACTTTCGCGAGAAAACATTCATAGACAGGCACTAACCATAGTGTAATAGGAAAAGCTGGATGCCCGTACAACACACTTTCTGATGTTCCGCACTTGGGGAGCTGGATTTAGCGCAGGATTTATATTAGCCCAATCGCTACTCAAGAACGACATTAGCGCTGGATTCTAACGACATGTAACGCTAGATGTGGAGCCCGACATGAAACACTTTCGTGTTTCATTTCGGGGTCCACCAAGTCTTTAGTGACGTATTTATATCACGGATATGACGTTGATTAAACAGATGCTACCAAATTAGAAGGTCAAAAACTTTTAGAAAAAGCTCCCCCGCTGGGAATCTAACCTCTGGCTTCTCGGCCCGCTACGATATGCTCCCTGGCTCTAGGGACTAAGCTATAACAGTAGTAGTGGGGCACTCTACAAACGCACATTCTATCTCTCACATATTTGTTTTTGCACGGTTCTCTCTGTTTATCCATCGATCAGTGTTCCATCCATCCTACGCGCCTTTCTTCTGCGGGAATTTTTTCCGCTCCTACACCACGGCTTAGCGTAGTTGCCATAGCATGCTGAAACGCAAGCTAACTGTCACTGCTGTGGTGAGGCCTGTTGGGTGTGAACAAGAAACGTGGTTGCGGGACGCCCATGGGACTTCCGGTGAGAGAGAAAGGTCACGTGCTTTCCGGTAAACGACTTGTGCGAGCGCTATAGCTGGGTGCACGCCTTGTATACAACCCGCCCCAGGAAACAGCGTGTAGGCTGCATTATCTTTACCCGTTGTTAGCCGTCATTTGGTCAACACTAAATTCCAGACTAGCATTCATTAGCGAACAGGAGACGACAGCAGTAGCTAGTGCTGGTTGTATGAACGCGGTAGTTGAAGCATGTGGTGTGCATTTTCTTAGCGGTGTGTTCGCCGAATGAATGTTAGTCTTAATTTATTCCGAGTTGCCATCCTGCACCATCATCACCATGTGAGCAACCTGCGCGAAAAACAAGCAAATACTCCTGAAGCTTTCCTTGAAACCAGCATGCGAAGGTGGTATTTAGGTTGACGTTGTTAGCTTGGTCGCCAGCCGTACAACTCACTCTGTGATAAGGAACAAGAAAAGATTCAAGTAACTTCGACGGAATAACTCACTCAAACTCATCATCTCGCCTTCAAAATTTCGTGTCATTCCTCTTTTAATGATCCTGTCGATCTCTCTTTTTCTTGGCGTGGAGGTGGGGGGGTGGAAGGTGGGGGGACAAGTAGTTTCCATAAGCCTAATTGCTTCAACCTCTTGCACGTTGTCTATGTTTTGCGTTTCCACTTGCCGAAGGTTGCATGTTTGATGCCGGCATTCAGATGAATGTGAAATACCAGAGGTCCGTGTTTTGTGAGCAATCAGTGCACGATATAAGAACACCAAGCGATCCCGGGCCTTCTGCTATGATGTCGCCTAATCAAGTCATGATTTTGGGATGTAAAACCCCTTATAGTACTATACGCTGCCACCTGCTGTACTGGTCAATGCAAAAGTGTGCAGTCAACTTAAAAAAAAGACAAATGCAATGGTACAAGTGAAGGAACAAATGTTTATGAGCATGTGTATGAAAAGTAACGCAAAAATGGTAGAACACATATATACAAGATGAAGTCGCATTTACAATGAAGTGTACAAGTACGTACCCTGCACCATTGAAGAAGAGTAGCGAAATAAAAATTATAAAAAAAACAAGACATCAATGCCTTTGTAGATATATTGACAGCGCTTAAATATAAAGATTATTGTCAGAGATTGCGGCTGAAAATAATCGGTTCAGGCGTTTGTTCTCGAACTCATTAACTCATTCAGGCATTAGTTATCCAACTCATTAACTGAACACTAGGTACTACAGTTCAAAAGAAATGTCCACAATACAATGATAGTTAAAGAGAAATGTGCCCAACATAATAACAGTATGTGTTCCCTTTAAAATTAGCCAGAGGGTGCGCACAGCTTTTTGTGGGAATCGCAGCGAGTTAGGTATAACTTTGTGGTCGCAACGCAAGAATAAAAAACATGCTACGAGAATATAAATAAATCAACGTCTTCTAGTGGGTGCTTCGTGTTTTCGCTTGCATGCGATTACTGACAATAACTGCCACAAAAAGTATTATAAGAAAGCTGCGCAAAGCGAATTAGCCACGCCAATTTGTTCAAATGGCTCAATGCAGCATGGGCAGCTACTAATGCTAACGGAGTTGCCGGCAACTCCGACGTTTTTATTGTGGCGTCTACTTTAACGTACACTGAATAGTTACATAACAAGCTCGTCTTGTGAACTCAGGTTCACACTTGTATGTTGTGAGTGCATCGTACAGCGAGCAACGCTTTGATACACATCATGGTTAGCAATAGCGAAGGCTAGTTTGCTTGGCATTCATGTCATTCCCGACAGTACACCTCTTTCACAAATATTCGAAGGAATACAGAATGTGGCAAATCGCAGACCTAATCTGTGTCTTCATCACACTTTCAGTTATCTTGTGCGCACACTGGCAAGCAGAGGCGTCAGAACAGCATTTCATTGAGGATTCATCTTTGCAAAGTCTTTAGCAGAAATGAACGCAATCACAGTGACCATGCACTTGAGAAGTACCCCGGTAGCAGAGTCAGTACAATGCCAACAAGTCTCAAACATTGACCATTACTAATAGTCTGTTGCAGACATCGCAAACCACATCAAGATACAATTCTCGAATTCCGTCCCAAAATAACGAGAAGTCACACATTTTTCCAGGGATATTACGCACCAAATAGCCCACATTTTTTGTAACATACGATTTGTAGATATGTAGTACCATAGCCTCCTACATTTTTCTTGCCTGCCGGATGAGCGCGAAACGGCTGTCATCTATGGCGGCGCCACTTACGTAGGGTCAATTATAATTGCGTTTAGGTCTTTTTAAAACTGTTTTACGTTATTTAAGCTCCAGAAACATAAAAACTCTTTCGGAGACAACCCTACTTAAGTGGCGCCACCACCGCCGTTCTGACGATGGCTGCTTCTCAAGTGACCGCCGATAATCCAGCAAGCAAGGGAAATCTAGGAGGCTGTGATAGTACGCATGCCATCACACACCAGCACTGCGCCGTGCTCCCGACCGAGCTACAGAAATTAGGTGCCTTTCTCCTCTTCTAACCACTACCACCACCACACCAGCACCCGCTTGCCACTACAATCCGCCTTCCTCGTGGTGCCACGACACATGCGCTCAAACCCTGGGGCAAAAGTCGCGAAACGCTGTCTCGTAGAGTCTTCACACTGTCTTCCATCTGGAGGGCATTTGTTCTAGTGAGACTTGTCCCGTATGGGCTTGAAAAGTTCCGCCCCCTTCCACATATCAGAATGACAAAAGGTAGTCCAGGAAAGATACAAAGCTGGATTCTGATAGTGCTTACATCAGGAACTTCCACAAAAGCCTTCCTGGAAAGTTTGTGAGAAATTAGGACGAAAAACAAATCTAACCTCGAAAGCTTTTCACTAGTAATATATAGGTTCTTTCAAAAGAAACTTCGGGGAAAACATGCCATGTCTCCGCACATCACTCGTATAAGCGCTTCGTCGTCAGTCAATTGCTCAAAGCAATTTTCTATATTTTTGATTGACAATCGACACAAACCGACACCACGAAAATATGTATATTCACTCAGCAAACGAACAACCGAAACTCAACACGACACACACGCGCACATGTGACCTCCTCCACCAAACTCGCCAACAAAACATTGCCCACAGCCATACCTCATGATGGGCTTTGTGGAATGCCATCACGACATTGTTCAGCTCAAGGAACAGAGAGGAGCTTATACACCCAGCACATCAACAAGAATCATAAAGTGCTGCTCATAGATGATGTATGTTCAGTTAAGGCAGTCGAACCCAGGTTTACTTTTAAGGTGCACGCTGACAATTTAATAAGTCTTTTACCCGTTGTTCCGAATAAATGATAAGTTCTCAAGTGCTTAGCACTACTGCGCAAACTTTCCTTCTCGTTAAAATTTGATATCTTTTGATATCTGGAGCAGGTTTGAGATTACTGCCTGTTAACGCTGGTCTATCAGATGTTCACATAGACTGCGATCAGAACTCACCGAGGCCGTCATCATCTTCAAATACCGACAACGTTTAGCAATGTATCACTGTATTGCCTGCACATACTTGAAGTCGCAACGTTCTAGAGTCCAGGTTGCAGCTTATAACAAAAAGAAGCTACCACTAACTTTGACGCTGATTTTTTTATTCATTCTTCATAATTTCTACAGGCCTCTTTTCTTCAGTGGGTCCTGCCTTCATAGCATCGTTTGGCTGGTGTCAGGGACAGTTGCGCAATTCGCACGGCTAACAAGGACAAGTAGAACCTGTTGCATCTTTTGTTCCAACAGTCGGCGCTGTGTATAGAGTACGCTGATATATTTCACTATCCATTAGATTGCTCACCTGATAAATGCGGAGCAGGTATTTCATCTTTTTTAAGAAATAGCCGTTACTCAATTTGGCATTAGTGCCCCTTGACAGGTAGTGCCCCGTCACTGCCCCCGGTGTGAAAGCTTATCAGAAAATTTAATATGTAGCAGTTTTTGTGCTAGTTAGATGTTTCCACGTTTTTATATAGTAGCAGAGCAAACTTCAGTAAAAGTAATGAGAGCGTGTGTATGTATAATCATGAGGCAAAAGGGGAAAGTCGAAGGCGTTCGCGCAGCAAAAGCGAGAATACCAGACGACATTTAAAGCGGACGGAGCAGACGAACTCTCCACAACAGCTCTCAAGCCGAATCACCATGCGAGTCCAAAAGCTGTCCGTGCTGATTATGCACAAACTAGACGGCAGCGAAAGACGAACTCCCGACAGCTCGTCACCCAATAAAAACACTTTTCAGCGCCTCATTTAAAAAAACTGCTGTGCGAAACTCGATCTCCATGTGAAGGACTATACACCGCTATTGAATTTTTCTGCAAACATTTCCCAGTTGTCATCGTACAAAACGTGAGCAAGTCTGTGCGATAGCCAGGCTCCTGAAGGGTGGGTTGACACTAGACACTAGACATTGCTAGCTTTCATCGATCGTAGAAGGCGCAAATGTATGACGTCACGCAAGAGCGTCGCTAGTGGGGTTCGAAAAGGGCACTAGCCCCCCACCTACAAAGTCACGCCAGGACTTGCTCCCCGCCCATCCGAGCCACACCAGTCTTCCACTTTCCTCCTCGCCGTCATGCAACGCAGGTTTGCACATCCAAGGCTAAATCATGCCGACACCAGGACATGACATCCTGTGATAGATCACCTACGCTCCGACAAGAAACCGCAGTTCGTCGCACAAAGCAGAGCTCTCAGCGAAAAGCGTTGCATAAATAGCCCCGGTACTGCGATACTCCCATCCCTAAAAATCCTCGCTCAAATCTCGTGCGTAGTTAGGCACTACCGGGGACGGCACATGTGGCCGTGCGCCTTCAGATGTGCTTGTACGTTTTCAAAGACGATAGCACGATGTACAAGACCCAGAGAAAGACCATGAAGACGGCGCTGGCGATGGCCGCAGGCCTGGGACCGCCAAGCTCGGCCTTGCCAAAGAAGGCCAGCTTCCGTCGCAGCATGAGCAGCGCTATACAGGTCAACGAGACGGCGCAGTAGATGCCCACGCTGAAGCCTAGGGATCCGGAGGGAACCTTGAAGATGCCTCCCTGCGTTGTCACGCGCGTCGTTATAAAATGGCGTTATCAGAACATAGAGGCGTAAAATGTTGCAACTGCTGACAGAAAAAAACACTAAAGCTTCAGTGTAGCGAAGTTTAAAAGCAGGCAAAGAATATTCCGTTATAATCATAGATTTGCTATGCCTGCTTTCTGCTCTCATGGTAAACTTACCATTGAAAGGGAATGTGGCAAAGAGCGTTAGCATCTAGCCACTCAGCAGTGCCACCTAACCGTGTAAGAATATCAATGAAAAAATCTTACAATAACCAAGGAACATAAAAACAAGATTGCAAAGTGTTGTGTCTTGCGGAAACTTTAAAGTGACGTCACGAGTTTTAAATTTTGGGCTGGGACCAAGCGTTTGATTATATCAGGTGTTTTTCATCGCTTTTGAGAAAATACAGCCGCCAATGTGGCGCAAGTCGTCACCAACATTATGCACAGTAACATAGCAGTACAGTGAACAGTGAACTGTGAACTTTATTGACATCATGTACATCATGTACATTGACATCATGTACAATGCCGGGACCGGCAGAAAAAGCCATCGCAAGGATAGCTTGACGAAGCTGCGGGCCCCCGTTTTGTCACCAGCGTACAACGGTGTTCTCAGTACATAAACAGACAACAACAATAACAACAACAAGAGAAGGAAAAAAAAAAGAAGAAAAAAAGAAAAAAAATATGTACTGAACAGATAAATCACTTAGTACAGGACCCGAAGGAAAAATGTGAGCCCACTACAAATAACCACGTCTTGCGTACAAACCATACACAAAAGAAAATATACACCAACGGATGTACTAAATAGCTCAGTACATATAGATTACCTTCATAATACATGCATACAGATTAACATAACTTTGTAATTTACATAGAGTACACTATAGATATATAATTGCACTATAGATATATAATTGCACATAGAGCAAATTAATCAGTTCATGGCCTCAGCTTGAGGCCATGAATTCTAAATAACTATTGCGACCCCTTTACTGAGCGACATTTCTTGACAGCATTGTGAAAGCCACAGAGCCGAAGCGCACGCCTGCTACCATGTCACAAAGTAGTTGATATATCTCGTTTACCTCGCGGAAAGGAATGCTGCTTCATTTATTATACCATTCAGACAGTTACGGCAAGTCCTAGGTAAAATACCGTTATTGTTTTTCACCTTGCAACGATATCGTTTGTATATTCAAATTACTTGCACAGCTCCACTTTTTAGCCGGCCAATTTTCCATAGTAAAGAGGGGGTCCAAGACGTAGTTGGTCAGTGTGCGGCCGCGAATGAGCTGTTTGTTTCTCCAAGATGAATATGCTCGTTGCACGACACCAAGATGTTCTTTGAACTATCAAAACGTTTTTTTATTCATATTTTTCGCTCATATAATTTTCTAAATGTATCAGCGATGCGAGCAAGCAAAATTGAAATCAGCCGCTAGCTGCCATACTACTTACAGAGCATCACGAATAAGCGGAAGGTCCGCATCCTGAGCTTTTACTCCACTGTCAAGCTGAATTGTCGCCGAATGTGGTAGCTTCTGGTGACCCACATCACTACGCCTTCATTTACGAAGGTCATACATTAAAGAGATTGCGATTTGCATTTATTGGGAAGCTCTTGCCCTGCAAACGGCTGTCCTTATGAATTCACGAAGTGCACCACCCACCATAAACATACAAAGCCTGCACAAGAATAAATGTGATTTTTATTTTTTGTACCATGCGCTCACCTTTATCTGCCAGTAGGCAGCCGCGAGGACCCACGGCAGTCCCAGACCGAGGAACACATTGACGGAGTTACTTCCAGTCACGTTTCCGACGGCGTTGTCGGCGTACTTCTCCGTTCGGGCGGCGCCCTTGGAGGCGAATAAATCGGGCAGCGAAGTGCCCAGGGCGACGAAGGTGATGGCCGTCACCGTGTCTTCCAGACCCACGAGGCAGCCGAAGATGCCGGCCAGGTCGCCGATGATGGCCGTCAAAAGACCGATGGCAGCCAACGACACAAAGAAGGTCAGCCAGCCGCCCATGAATCCCGTGGGAGGAACCAGGGAGAAGATGACCTGGGTACGAAGACAAAAAAAATTCTGTAGTTAAGTAATGCTAATGTAGTTCTCCTTAGTGTTCTACCCAATCCCACGCTTAATGCGGTTTCACTTCCGTTAAACTTGATGAAATGTGGAGCGTGAGCAACCCAGATATTCTCCAGTGATCGCACACTTGCCGAAGTGGCAGCACCTCCTCTTGTTTGGTGCCGGTATGACCCGGATGTTCCCAAAATGTATTTTTCCCGATTTCAGGCAAATTATTGCCACTAATTCATAGCTCTTTCTAGTTATATTATTTCAAATCTTGTTAGCTTATTTTCGATAATTTTCAGCGTTGTTCGCCTTGATTAAGGCCTCTATTGATCTGGCAGTCATCTCCGAAAACGAAAAAAGGCGTGCGCGCCCTGGAGAAAGATGCGGGCTTGTCTCGGAGGCGATAGCGTGTAGAACGCAAAGCGACGTGCAGGTGCCACGACCGTGTTGTCTTTGCAAAGCGTTGGAAACACTCGCCTTTTCGAGCATCGCGTTGCACTGTCAGCGCAGCGTGTTTAACGCTACGGTCCTTAGAATTACTTATGTGTGCCTTCTCTAGTACAAAGACACACATACAAAAAATTGGCCCCGTATCTGCATGTTACACCTCAAATGTCGTCGAAAGACAATGCTCTTGCATCTGGACATAGTGAACAAAACGTTTATTTAATGTTCCGCGCAAGAAAATCGGTGAATGGTATTCTGGAGGCGCTGCGTTAGAGTGCCTCGAGCGTGCAGCTGAGGCGAACGAGCGCATCAAGTCACGTCACATGTAAGACATGAGCGCCATCTTGAAAAACGAAGCATGCGCGCAGCGTGCACGCCTGTCTCGGAGGCGATAAGGTGTAGAACGCAAGGCGACGGGTAGGTGCCACCACTGTGCCGTCTTTGCAAAGCGTTGGAAACACTTGCCTTTCGTGCAAGCGTTGCATGGTCAGCGCAGCGTGATAAACGCTACATTCCTTCGAATTGCTTATGTATGCCTTGTCTAGTAAAAGATATACATGCAAAATATTGACGTGTTGTTATGGTGCCTCAGATACGTGCAAATATTGCTTTTTAATTGACAAGCAGACAAGTATGAACGATGAACCTTGAGAAATATTGGTGGGCGCTGCAGATGGGGTCGGCAGTTTGGGGTATCGGCCTGTCACTCTGATGTCTTTAAGGGTACCGTTAAGGGTGGACAAACAGACAAATGTACAGAAACACAGACCAACATTTTTGCGTCGAAGGTTTCGAATAAATACTATCTTTTTTATATTGACGTGTTGTTATAGTGCCTTTTTATTGCTTTAAATTGCTTTTTATTTGACAATCGCACAAGTATGAACGCTGAAAGTTGAGCAATATTGGTGGGCGCTGCGGATCGCTTGGTGCCGTTATGGGGAGCATTACGGCAGACAAACAAACCAATATACAGATACTAAGACAGACAGACCAAAATTTTTGCGTCAAAGTGCCCCAAGAAAAACTATCACCTTTAAAAAAGAACAGCCGCAGCGTGGCAGGAATTCCACCATGAGCACGAGAACGTAGCGGCTTCGGAGGAGGTTGCGTTGTGGCCTAGGGTGCCTATTGTGAACGCTACGCAAGATCCTTCTTTTTTATTTCCTTCATGAGATATATATTGTATACGTAAGTCTCAAAGCTCAGCCCGACCCACGAGGTGGGCCTGTCATCACTTTTACTAGTTTTATTTATTTATGTATTTATTTACATTTCACCTACATCGCAGTAAGGCATTACGTAGGGGAGGTACACATAGTAATTTGACTGCATAGTTACAATCGAAACAATAGATACAACAAATACAACATCACTCAAGATATTTCAAGAGAAGAAAAAAAAACACTCGTATATTGGTGAGCGAAAACAACATCGCAGTCATGCATTTCGTTCTCTTCCTCACCTTCCATCCGAATGTGATGAAGTGCATGACGTAATCGACAGTTTCCGCGTTCTCGATGTCGCCGCCGTTGACGTTCATGGCGTCCTTGATCTGACCCTTCCAGTTGGCCGAGTGCAGTCTCAGTTTGTCCACGTTGGTGTTGGTCATCAGCATCAGCCGATTGACGATGGTGTTGAACTCTGTGCATTGGGGAAATAGCCAGTTACGAATGGCACAGTTGCACTTATTTACGTATTGCAATATGCTCTAGTAATGACAATCAGATTTTTTTCTTAACAAAATGTCCCAATTTTCCCGGGCAGGGAAATGGTGATATATTTAGCGATGTATTTGGGAATTACTAGAAGGTTTGCCATTTGGCCATTGCTGCTCCTCACACATGAATTTGCATAAGTGATCCATCTAATATATTCTGCCTTACGTAAATTTTCAGCTGCCCCCTCTCGTCCCCATTCACCAATCATCCCCTCAGAGCAAACTCAGAAAAACACAACGCATACGAGTAGCTTCTTTTCTACACCCGCCCCCTCCCCAAACTCCCCAAAAGAATTCGCTTGTCGTGAGTGCCCCCTCCTCCCCCGATTAAAAGAAATCCTGGCACTGCCCGCAGGTAAATCTAACATCGATTGCGAAATATGATACGTCCATAAAAACGCTAAATGAGCGCCATACAGCCACGGTATACCTTCGTCGCTAGTGATGGTGATGGTGGTCTTGGTGAGGTGTCCCAGTCCCGAACCGGGCGAGGCATCAAACAGCTCGACCTCGAAGTGCTCGTCCTTCTCGGCCTCGAAGTCGTCCACGATGGGAATGTCGATGTTCTTGAGGGTCTCGCCGTGCTCGAACACCAACTTGCCCTCGCCGCCGTGGAAGTCCTCGCCCTCCTTGGCCGTCTGGCTGCGGGTCCGCCAGTGGACGTACGCCGTACCGTCGGCGCCCTTGGTGCGCACCACGGCCACCTGGGCGGTGCCCACGCTCTCGCGCACCAGCAAGCCCCGGCGCCGAAACTCGAAGATTCCGGGCTCTGCGCCACAGAAAGCACACCGCAGCTGAGACGAGTAACAAGGTTTAACAGGACGGAACGATGGGAACGAATCCAGAGCTCGGGGTACGACTATTACATATGAGGTTTAACGTCCTAAAACCGCAACCTGATTATGAGAGACGCCGTAGTGAAGGGCTCCAGAAAATTTCGATCACCTCGGGGTTCTTTAACGTGCGACTAAATCTAAGCAGACGGACCTCAAGCATTTTCACCTACATCGAGAATGCTGCCGGGATGTGATCCCATGACCTTCAGGTTAGCTGTCCAGTTGCATAACCACGACACCACCACGGTGGGGCCGAGCTCGAAAGAAAGACTCTATATTAGAAAAACAGGGATTTTTTCCGGCGTCTATATACTGCTAGCATGCTACAACAGATGGGGAAATAAAAATAAAGAATTCAAAAGATAGCGAAGAAAAGAATGGCAGGAAAACAATATAAACATAAAATATAAATTGTGCAATTGAACCTGATAAAAAGATTTTCCGTAAGGGTGTGAAATAAGGTTCAATTTTCTTATGTGGATTTTTCTACCAATATTAGAGCCTTTCGACCAGGCCCATTTCAGACAAGTAATTGAGATCTCGTTCCTTTTTTAGACACATCTTTAATTAAGGTATCACTGAGGAGTGTGAAGGGATCTCACCACAATGTTCTTTTAGCAGTAAGTATTACTCACTTCAAATCTGATCAATACACAGATATCGGAGGCGTTTGCACACGCGACCAGCAAAGTTTAGCCCAATTCTCTTTTGTTCTTTTTTTTGTGATTTCACGCGAACTCACGGTCGTCGTCGATGATGGTGATCTCCATGACGGACTTCCGACCCAAGGCGACCTCGGCTCCGTCGCCGGCACTGGCGGGCAACGACAAGCGCAGGAAGAACGTCTCGTCGGGCTCCCACTGGTTGTCGTCTACGATCTGCACCGTGACGCGGCGCTGAGTCTCGCCCGGCTGGAACATCACCATCTGTCGCAGCTCCATGTAATCCTCGCCCGCCAATGCCGTGCCGTCGATGGTCTCCACCCTGCGAGAGACAGTGCAAAGAGTTGGCCGCTGTTTCCCGATACGTCGTTTGCGGGAGTGACCGCATTTCCGGTAAAGTCGCTTTCGCACCATGCCACCCACGCACTGTGGTTAGCTTATACGCCGCCGAACAGAGTTGGCGCAGTTCGCAACACGGTGGCTACAGTTACTGGATGCCGCGTGCTCCGGGAGCATAGCACAGGTAAACAAAGCATATACAGGAACTCCAGTGACGGCCCCAGTGGCGCCACTGCAGGAACGAGATAAGGTGGGGTCGTGAAGAGCACTGTTCTTGCTATTTGGGGTTGGGCATTGCTGGTGAAAAGTTGCCTTTTGTGGGTGGTCCGCGGGGACGACTTCGCGACTCGTATTTGCGTGCTTCCGTGGTGAATCGAACGTAGGCAACGGTGTATTTATTCGTGAAAAAATGTGTGTGTTATGTTCTTTGTGTGAGTAACCTATATTGACATTCTATTCCGCTTTTAGCACGTTACCGAGGTTGTTTTTTCCACATTACCGAGTAAGCTGTCAGGCCCATGGTTGTGGAAAAGCCTTCACATGTATGTGACTCTACGGTTTGAGCTGCGTCCCCTTGTTTCTTAAAAGCCTCGCGAGAGCCTACACACTTTACCAACCCAACTCGCGGGTCTGTCGAGATCGATTTTTCTCACGACAGCACATACCGAACCACAGGTCAGTGCAGTTGCGCACTAGTGATACAGGTGGCACGAGTGGTACTGGTGGCGTATGCTTACTACAGGACCACAGATACTTGAACAGATGTTCTCTGAACTAGATTCTTGGCCTAGAAATTGAAATCGGCAGCGGCCCTACCCCCTTCTCTCTAATTATAAAAGTGGGAGCCATGTGTGCCCCAAGTATTTTCTTTTCTCTCTCTCTCTCTTTCCCTCTTGTACTCAGTTGGACCTATACCGTCAATATTTATTATGCAGGACCAAGGCCACGTTTGCATTTGTGATAATGGCGGCCTGGGATAACTGATTTGGCATTTTAATTATTAACTGTTTACTTCCCTTCTTGATTCTCGGAAGGCCAGGCTTTCTCGATTTCTTCATGTTCATTTTCTCTTTATTGATCCTGAAGCTAGTCATCTTTTGGACTTCGCGAACAGGTTTGGCAGGGCTAAAGGAGAACACAGAAAACCTGCGCACGCCAGCAGTAATTGGGCTTCGATATCCACAGCGTGGCTGATCATTTCTCGCCGAGCTTGTCTCTCAAGTCTGTCTTCGCTAAGCTGTAACCGGAAAGACAGCGTCAACTAGATGAAAGTTCAGCACAGAAAAGTGGAAAACCAAAGTAAACTTAAAAAGCCGTGATTATCTAGGCCGACTGAAAGTCGCATACACCAAGTCCGGTGTGGTCGCATTAGATCAGCTCAATTCCGTTATTAAGGTGGACAGATAGACGGACGGCCGCAATTGATGTGCGCACAGACGTATGGTACAGGTGGTCATGTGTTGTGCTGTCATACACTTGGTTCATGTACACGTAATGTTTTTTTTTTCGCAGATGTTTTTGTTGTGCAGGTTCTTAGTTTCAATTTCGGTAGAGGGACGGACGCCGAAAAAGCTAGGCCCCAAGGCTCGAGCTTCGTTTCTAAAAAGCTTTGCTTTGAAATGTCGATGAGTGAGCAACTGATTATTAGGAGTTTGCGTCTGTCATGCGGGGCATCTCAAAGGGAGCACGTTTGCACTGGAAGGCATAGCGATGGCGTTCGTTTGCTTTTCTAGCAGCCATCATCATCATCATCATCATCATCATCATCATCATCATCAGTATCGGGCGCCTATTAATTATGGCGCGCTCAGGTACATGTGCGCGCTCCCATGCTTTATTCCTCGTTCGGCGTGCTCCGCGGTTAGAAGAAAATAAAGCCGAGTTCTGCTCCTGCCGTCGGCCTCAACGGGTTCCTTGCTTTTTTTCGCTCGCCGCCACAAGCATGGTTACAGAGGACCTAACCTCGGTTCCTATTCGGTCATTTCAGCGTTGCGGGCGGCGCCCTGTAGCCGTGCTTCGAAGCTGTCACACGGTGATAAAACTGCGACGCAGTTCAGTCTCTCAGTAGTCACAAACCAATGAACGCGTCTTCACGCTCTGCGACGCTGACACCGTCTCGTCCGCCATTTCGACCTTCCGCTGCGACACTTATAGTCGCTGGAATGATCGAATAGCTTTGATCGGTGGAATCATTCGATATAGTCATCGTAGATATGCATTTACTACGTCAGCACGCATGTTCGTGAGCTTACCTGCACGTGGCCGGAGAGTCGAGCTTTCCTTTTCGTCGTATGAGCACGTCCACCTTGCCGGCCTTTTCGAGCACTGCGCACGAGCTCGCGTTGAACTCGATGGTGGCCACGTTTTTGTTCTCAGGCTCGGGCACGGGCTTCAGCAGTTTGCCCTGCTCCACTTCGTCGGCAGCCTGGAACAAATGCGCTAGGCCAAGGTCAGACCTTTATACCGAGATAAAGTAGCACGAAGAAATAATACACCGCAAACGGTCTGTTATCTCTCAATAGAAGAGTACGTAATGGAACATTTGTTACTCAGAAACACGAAGTAGTTTTCAACTGTTTTTTTTTTTTTGCTCCGAAGTAATGTGCCGTACTATTTGTATACCTGCAGCTTCTTCATTTCTTGCGGCTGTTATTTGTATGCATATATGACTTACCACATTTCTTACCTACGTAGTAATCGCACCTCATAATATGCACTGTAGAATATCGTTGTAGGAATGAGCTTGAAGAATGACCGCGTTAATGTTTCGATTTGTTACATAGTTATTTGCTTCCTCCTGCTCATGTAATTTGTCTCTGCTTTGCATAAGTTGGGCTTGCCCCAGTGTCTTAATTCCATTTCGTTTTATTGCGACCGCAATTATATGGGCACTCTCCACTAGATTTTGCCGCCGGCGTCACCTCTGAATTTGTGAGGGCGAGGCGCTAGTCACTCAGGCACGAAGGAGCACCTCCTTCTACGTTTAAATGGCGAGCTATTTATATGTATCACTTACCGCTGGTGACGGGTATCTGGGAGGAAACTATCGTGTTTTCAGCATTACCAGCAAGATGGTGCAATGAGCATGCGTTGCCACATCGTCACGACGCGGTGGCGCATGCTCTCATCTCCCACGCGTACTTTGCCCCTCGGAGAGTGGGCAGAGTAAACGCTTACGCGTGCGCTTATCTCGTGGTAGGGACAATCGTACGTCTTAGCTGGCCTTGGGCTTTCATCAGAACGATTCCGTTGTGGTTACCAGGCACACAAAGGTCACTGCCAGTCTCCGTTTGTGAAAAGGGCGCGCTTTTCAGACACAGCGAAGCAACAACTGAGACACTTATTTGCGTTCTTTTCTACCTGTGAGTACGTTTCGTGCGTCATTTGTTCGTGTGAAGCGTGGGGCACGGTTCTATCTTCTTGCCGTTTTGCGTGTGACCTTACTATTTGCTGCTATCGCGTTCATTGCTCCGCCTTTGCAGCAAAGCTGTGACTTTCTTACAACGTATCTCTCGTACCTTGTGTTACGTGCTGCATTACTGCTCGCCCCATATATTATCATCATATCGGAGAATTTATGTGTACTCTGGAAGAGAACACAATAACCTACTCTGTCCGAATGCCTTCAAGTAATAGTTTTTTTTTTAGATGAAAAAAAAACGTACTGCATTGCTTTGATTCAGTGCAACCTGAATATAGTGCCACAATCACATGTTCCAGTGTTGAGCAAAGTTTGCCACTAACAAGGCTGACGTACCCTTTAAAGGTACCATACAACAAACATTAATTCATTGGCCGAGTAGTGCTTCTCACCTTTGCGTCTGCCTCATCTTGCGCGGCTAGTGCGAACATTTCACGCACCTCCTGGTCCAGTTTCTGCGGAAAAAGCGAAGGCTGCGTTGCATTACGGAACCAATCTCTTCGTGGTGATCCCGCACGCAATTAAAAGGAGGCCACACGAAAAAAAAATATATAGTACGTTCTGTCGCTTGATTATTGAAAACGCTTTACGCATTTTCTTCCACGCATAAGAAACGAATAAACATTGTAAAAAATGCACAGATAAGGCACATATAAAACATAAGGCCTGCGACATCGGTAACCACAAGCGGACATGATTTCTGAGGCCATATATCAAGTAATATAGTTTTATACAAAGAGCAACGGGGAGAAATATGGTGTCATTTGTAAAGGCACCACGACTGTCCACTATTCGTGGCATCATGGCTACAGTCATTGTCCAGTTCGGCCATAGTCATTGCACGCACAAAGCAGAGGGCCTCGTAGATCTGTAGAAGCGAGCGAACACAGACTTCGAGGTCATGAAGCTCATTTTGCAATGTCGTACAAGTAATGAACAGTGAAACACTTAGAGCCGAGTGCTCTGGTGCAATGACGGTATGACTGCATCGAAGTGAGTAGTTCGTCACGGGAAGGTGCGCAGTGTCCCCCAGGCACTCACGTGCTGCAGCTTGTTGTTGATGCTGGGCGTGGTGCGGCGGCCTCCGGTCAGGTCCCGGATGGCGCCGACCCGGTACCACATGCGGGTGTGGTGCTGCTGCTCGGCCAGCTTCGCTGCAGCCAGACACGCAGCGTCCTCGTCCGTCAGCCCCGGGTGCTTGCGAATCTCCTGCGTAAGAAACGCGGGATGAGAGGCGGGCAAGGAAAGTATATATCATGCGGTAGACTTGTCGTTACAACGACTATGGTGAAACCTTGCATGGAGCTCGCTGAAATTTTTTTTCCATTGCTTCAACCACTAAGTGTCTGATGAATCTTCAGCTCATCAAGCAATAAGTTTATACATTTCCAATTTATTGAACGATATAATTCAGTATGAAACGTCTAATAGACTGAGGGATTGAGCTACTGACCGACTGAGAAAATTATTAGTCGTACAATCACGTTAAAATTCGATATTTGATAGATTGAATGACTTACTTCACTCATTGATTTAGGTCATTTGATTTATAATGATTGCCTCGTGTACAAACCAAGTGTTTCGGTTGCTTGAATAATAGTTCCGTTCTCTGAGTCATTCCCAACTTGACATAATGCATCGTTGATTGACTGAGGAACTGACCAAAAGAGAGATAATCTATTGCCGGACTGAATCGTTCGTGCCGTTTTGAAGCGCAACAGATTCCCTTATAAACTGACAATTCCCGACTGACCCGAATGAAGTCCAGAAGGTTCTCCCTGTTGAGCTCGCCGTTGGGGAAGAACTCCCGGCGCGCTGCTCCTCCAACAGGTGTCGCAGGTGCGACAGCGTTGTTCGCGTGCTTGGCGATGTCGGCCGTGGTCTGCAGCTCGAGCTGCTTCTGGGCGCTTCGCTTGCGAGCCCCTGGCCAGAAGATGCCCGTGTCCGCCGCGTACGCCAGGAAAACCTGCGCCACCACAGACACTCGTCAAGCCTTACGCCCCAAAGCCAAATATGCGAAAGGTGACTGCAGTCGTAGTCTACGCGAACTGCGCAAGAATGCGTGCGATAAGGGGTTACGGCTTTTTGATGCCGTTATTTGACATCACAAACAGACAAAATTTGTGACTTTGTTATGACGTCGTCATTGTGCCACAAAGCATGACGTCACATGGTGACATCATCACACGACACTATTTCTAAGTCAAACTTTCGCCCATCCCAGCAACAAGGTAATTTTCGATGATGATGATGATGAGTTGCCGAGCACTGTACGTAACTAGAGTTGAAATTTGAGTGACTTGTAACGGGCTAATCTTGTAAAGAACTGTGCAGTAGAGCAGGACACAAGAAAGAGACTGCTAGACTCACGTCTACACTTTTTCCTTCTTTGCGTCTAGTCCATCTGCTCAACTTGTTAGCAATCGATTTGTGTTTTCTTTGAAAAATTCTTGATGTGTACGCGTATTCGTTTCTTTCATCAACGATAAAGTACTGGAACCATTTGCCAGTGTCCGAACTGAATACGGAGGGCATGGAAGGATTTGAAAAGTGTGTTAAAAAGTCTAGTGTAACAGCGAGGCTTGCTAGTGTTGTACGTTCATTGCCATTTCAAAAAGTAAATAAATAAATAAGATGGTTTATAAACGCGCAGGGCTCACCAGCAGCGGGAAGAAAAGAAGCGTCAAGATGGCCTCCCAAAGCTCGATGATTTCGGGACTCGAACCCATCAGCACAATCAGGAGCCACAGGTATGCGAACACGCTGAAGAAGGCAGTGATGCCGAACACCTGCAAGGCGCGTTCAATATGACATGTTATATATATATATATATATATTGTAATGACGAAAACCGAAACTGGAACTCTCTCTGGCACAGACTCGCATGCTAGGAAGGAAGAGGAGGAAGACGAAGGAGAATAAGAACAGCCGGCCTGCAGCAAAGGCGTTGTGTCTTATTTCTCGTCCTTACAATGGCGCAGCCGACGAAGAAAACGGCTTACGTCTCGGTTTCGTCATCCAGAACGCCCGCCGACGTGCAGCCGCGGTAAGCGTCGCTTGAGGACGGCGTCAAGCCCTCCTCGGCAGCTGTTTACTGACACCACCGTTCGGGGACGGCGTCAAGGCCTCCTCGCCGTCACGCTTCTTCGCTGATGGGACCCGCAAGGCGTCCGTCGCGGCCAGCATCGATCCCAGCACCGACGGATGGCGTCCAGGCCTCCGTTGTGGTTCCGGGAAACTTGTCCTGGGACGCGACACGTCGCGGCAACCATGCGCACGGGCCTCTCTCACCTAGGGATGGCGTACATGCCTCCTCCATACCTGGCAACCTGTCGGCGCTTCAAGCACCCACCGTGTACGGCGTCGAGGCCTACCCGGCGGCGCAAGACCGCTTCATCTACGCCACAGTACCAGGTCACAACTCATCACACGGGTTCCGCTTGCCTGGGAACGTCGTTGACGCTTCCAGCGCCCTGGAACCCATGTCCACGAATCCGACCACAGCTGGATTTCCAAGGGACGCCGTCCACGCGTCCTTGGTCAAGAATTGTACCACCTCGAATACCGCAGTCACTGTATCCTCCGCAGAGGCGGGCCTTGGCTCTTCGTGCGGATCACACGACAGCGCAGCGGAGCTGCAGCATACCATCGCGCAACTCCGTGTCACGACCAACGCCCTCATAGCGTCGAGTTCCAAGCTATGTCCTGCCATCTTGCCAACATTGTGCGCACTCAATGCCATGTTGGCTGCGGCCGCCGCACAAAACTTCGAGGTAAGCTCGCCCGAGAACCGTCGCAATCTCCGGCGTTCTCTCGCGGAGGTATCGGAGCAAGTGAACTGCTTGGCGGGGGCACATTTCGGAGTTCTGCCCGCCGTCCCGCCATCGCCGATTTCCTTCGCGCTACCGGAATTTCGCGGCTTCCAGGACGACGCCGAGGAATGGGTGGCAACCGTCAACGCTCTCGGAACGACTGAAGAGCAGAAGTGGGACATGGCCATAGATCGCCTGCGGGATGCTGCCGCAGCATGGCACAGGTACGAAGGCGTCAGGCAGCAGTCCTGGGCAGAATGGAGTGCAGCCCTGATTGCCGCTTTCGGACGGATTTCCTGTGACTCCAGCAAGTCCAGCTCGATCTTCCCCGAGGCCGAGGATGGAGCCCAGGCAGCGCCCCGCCTCGAGGCTGCAATCGTTCGTTGCAGCTCGTCAACGGAATGCTGCCAGGAGTTCCCTGCTGCTGACCCTGACCGAAGTGGCTGGAATCCTACACTACAGGTCCCGGACTCTGCATCGGTATTCGACCTGAAATTACCCCCACCAGACCTTCGTCCGGAGATACGGCCCTCGCGCTCGTCGTCTGAGGACATCGAGGCACTCAATCCTATTGTATTAGACACAACTGAACCCTACCAGACCACGATCATGCTCAGCCACGCAGACACTCGGCTACCAAGGAACGTTTCCTTCGAGAAAGCCCAGATACCTAGCTACGCTGAGGCCACTGCCATCGAGAACTTGCCGAGGACCAGCCCTCCGGCTGTTTCCTCCCAGCATACGATGTTTGCACATGACAGTTCGCCAGAAGCCACCGGCTCGACTACGTCTGGGAGTTCTGCTGTGGTATTTATGCCCAACCATGAGCTGCGTCCCATCTCATTTCAAGAAATGGCCCAAACGTCATCATGGCTGCCTCGCAGGGCATCCCGCTGCAGTTCAGTCCACCAGCGACGGTGGGACAAACACCAGCGTTTCCAGGTTACTCTGCGACCTTGCCGGAACAGTCAGGGCCGTCCACCTGAACTGCATTCTACGAGTTGTCAGGAAACGTTGCATCATGGACGAGTTCGACCACGGCGACAAAGTCAAGCCCACCCACCAAAAACTTTACCGCCAGCTCCGCGCGCGCACAGGACCCAGTCTCCATCACGACACGGTGAACGACCCAGACGACATAGCCAGTGTCGGCCGCCGGAGCCAATTTCGACAAACTTCCAGCGTGGTCGAGACCGACCACGACGATGTAGCCAACCTCGCCCACCTGAAGCACTGTCAACTGCTGCAGCTAGCCTTACCTACCAGAACATTGTCGTTTGGCCCAACGACAATGCTAGCAGTCATGGCCGAGTGTAATGACGAAAACCGAAACTGGAACTCTCTCTGGCACAGACTCGCATGCTAGGAAGGAAGAGGAGGAAGACGAAGGAGAATAAGAACAGCCGGCCTGCAGCAAAGGCGTTGTGTCTTATTTCTCGTCCTTACAATATATATATATATATATATATATATATAAAGCTGTGCAGTGCGGGGGGACGCCACGGATGTGTGGCAGACCTGCTTTCACATTTTGTGCTGGCGAAAAAAAGCAACTATAAAATTGTGTTTTTTTTTTTCCCTTTTGAGGAAATGGGCCGGAACGTGAGCGCACACATGCATAACACAAGCAGGAGTGCAGTCATGCGTTCACAGCCCGGCAACAATGAAATATGCCAACATATGATAACAACAGACCCCGATAAAATATTGTTACGAGGTTGGTTGCTTCTGAGCGAGATGTATTTGCAGAGTAAAAACTACAGGCAAGAGACACAATGGCTGATTGGCCCAGTCGCGCGCCTGTCAGTCGCACCTCTTCCTTTTCTTCCTCTCCGTAGCAGGACCCCCGGGCGTTGGAGCGCCGTCTCGGCGAGAGTCCGGAGAAGTGCGACAGAAGTAGGGTTTCAAGCGCGAAACATGGACAATGTCAACTAGTGACGAACTTGGTGACGTATTGGAGTGCAATGGCGCTATCTCGTAGGTTACGTCGCTAACTTGACGTAAGACTAGGTAGGGTCCGGCGTATCGGGACAAAAGTTTTTCGGAGAGACCTACACGGCGACACGGTGACCAGAGGAGCACGTGGTCACCTGGGGCAAACGTTATATTTCGATGCCGGTGGTCGTAGCGGGCTTTTTGCATATCCTGTGACCTGGTGAGGCGAGACTGGGCAACTTGACGAGCCATGTGAGCCCGATCAATGGCTTCGCGCGCGTACTCGGAAGGAGATGGCACGAGAGGCAAGGTGGTTTCAAATGGCAATATGGGGTCGCGACCATATAAAAGATAAAAAGGCGAGAATCCCGCAGTGTCATGTCGAGAGGAGTTATATGCGAAGGTCACATAGGCCAACGTTGTATCCCAGTCTCGATGATCATCGGAGACGTACATCGAAAGCATCTCTGTGAGCGTGCGGTTGAGACGTTCAGTTAGGCCATTAGTTTGTGGGTGGTAGGCGGTAGATAGCTTATGGGCTGTAGCACACGATCGAAGGAGGTCATCGACAACTTTGGACAGGAAAGAGCGGCCGCGGTCCGTAAGCAGCTGTCGGGGTGCACCATGGTGTAAGATGACGTCATGAAGAAGAAAATCCGCGACGTCAGTGGCGCAACTGGTTGGCATGGCCTTTGTTATCGCGTAACGGGTCGCATAATCTGTGGCGACGGCAATCCATTTATTTCCTAGTGTCGTCGTCGGAAAAGGGCCAAGAAGGTCGAGTCCCACGCGATGAAATGGTTCAGAGGGGACTTCAATTGGGTGAAGATATCCAGCTGGCAGCAAAGAAGGTCTTTTCCGGCGCTGGCAGAGGTCGCAAGTGGCGACATATCGACGTACGCTGCGGTACAATCCAGGCCAGAAAAATCGACGTCGCACGCGGTCGTATGTGCGGGAAACGCCGAGGTGTCCCGCTGTTGGTGCGTCGTGAAGTTGTTGAAGTATGGCAGGCCGTAGATGACGAGGGATGACAAGCAGAAGCTCAGGGCCTTCAGTGGTGACGTTGCGGCGGTAGAGGATGCCGTCATGCAGCACGAACATACGGGATTCAGCGTCATGGCTGTCAGACTGGATGGCGTCGATGATAGTGCGCAATGACTCATCCCGTCGTTGTTCGATGCGCATATCGCTGACGTCTGTAAACGCCATTACTCTGCTCTCCAGGTCAGGCGCAACGGGATCAGGAGGATCTACCGGATATCGAGAAAGACAGTCTGCGTCCTTGTGCAAACGGCCAGACTTGTAGCTGACGCTAAACGAAAATTCCTGAAGCCTCAGAGCCCAGCGAGCCAGACGTCCAGTCGGGTCCTTCAGAGAAGTCAGCCAACAGAGGGCGTGGTGGTCCGTAACGACAGTGAAAATGCGACCATATAAATATGGCCGAAACTTGGCGACGGCCCAAACTAAAGCTAGACACTCTCTCTCGGTGATGGAATAATTCATCTCCTGGGGAGAAAGCAGGCGACTGGCGTAAGCTATCACGCACTGTCTACCGTGGTGCCGCTGAGCGAGAACTGCGCCGATACCGTGGCCACTGGCGTCGGTGCGAACCTCTGTGGCAGCAGAAGGATTAAAGTGGGCAAGTATGGGGGGCGTAGTTAGGTAGCCGATGAGAGCGGCGAACGCTTGAGCCTGCTCAGGGCCCCATGAGAATGTGGTATCCTTCTTCAGCAAATCTGTCAGTGGCCGGGCAACGTCAGCGAAGTTTTTCACAAAACGGCGAAAGTAGGAACATAAGCCGACGAAGCTACGGACGTCGGATGTAGAACGGGGCACTGGAAAGCTACGGACGACGCGGATCTTTTCGGGATCTGGTTGGACACCATCGGCGTTTACAATATGGCCCAGAATGGCAATCTGACGGTGACCAAATTGACACTTCTTGGAATTGAGTTGTAGCCCAGCTGTTCTGAAGACTGCGAGAATTGCAGCGAGACGGGTCAGGTGGCTATCGAAAGTAGATGAAAAGACTATCACATCGT